TTTTAATTTAATTTATCAATTATACATTTCCAAAAATTTATCCAAAAATCACATAAATTATTTTACAAATCACTTTTTCGGTTCTTAATTGATTTTGACATAATAAAAGGTGTTTGAATATTTTTAAGAAAATCATAGTTTTGTGTTCATAATTAATTTTAGCATAATAGGTGTTTAAATATTTTTTAAAAAAATATGATTTTGAATTCAAAATTAATTTTAAATGAAACACGATTGTTTGGAATATTTTCACAAAACTATGGTTTTGACCTCTGAAATTGACTCCAGATGTTATCCAAAAAGGCACTATTTCTGTGAGATAAATTTATTTTATTAATTATAAGAACATTTTAATTTTAAACATAGTTATTAAAATTAACAAAAAAAAATTAAGCTAGTTGAGAGTATTATGTAGAGCTAGAAATATGAGCTAATCCAAACTATTATATGGGTTGAAAAAAATATAGATTGAGTTAGATTCAATTTATTTTCTTATTAATTAAAAATATCCTAATCCGACCAACCCTTATGTGTTGGTGGGTTAAATGAATCAATTCATTAACCCATTTATTTATTTATTTTTATAATTTTTTTTAAAAAATACACTTAAATGAAAAGTTATAATATGATATTTCATAAAATTTTAAAAAGTTCACATAATAAATGTATGAGATTGATCAATTCTTGTATGATTCATTACAAAATCTGTTGGATTTTGGTGCCAAAACTCCCTTTATTTTTATTTTTATTTTAAATTTATATAGGTTGAACAACAACTCTAATCCATTAAGATTAACCCATTTGATTCACAAGGTATTTGATTTGGGTTAGAAAAGATTTATTTTTATACGAATCAATATTTTTTTAACCCAATCTAACATTTATAACAAGCTATTTGGATCAACTTATATAACTATAGCTACGTTCTTCACTCTAATACTACCTTACCTAGCAATGTCGAGAATTGACCCTTAGCCATGAAATGTAAATTGGAAAAATTTTCGTTAAAAACCAAGGAAAAGATTTAATTATTAATGAGTTTTAAAAAATTCTTAAACTTCAATTTAACCCAAAGAAGAAATGTCAAAATAATTTTAATGGTAAAAAGATCAAAATACTCTTCGCTTGTTATACAAAATCATTAGTTATTAATTTTCTTACTTTACTTATTAATTTAACAATATGAGTTACAAATTACATAAGTTGATGTGTCAATAATTATATAAAACTTGACATCAATTATTCAATCATAAATAGCAATATCAAATGTTCAATTGCTAATTTTACTTGTTAATTTACTAACATTAGTTGTAAATTATTGATAGGTCTTGTAATTTACAACTGATGTTTGCAAATTAACAAGTAAAGTTAAAAAATTAAAAACTAATGTTACTGATTGTCTAACAAATGGATATAATTTATAAGTGATATTAGTAAATTAACAAATGAAGTAAGAAAATTGATAACTAATAATTTTGTATGACAAGTGAAGGATATTTTAGTCTTTTCATTATTGAAGTTATTTTGACTTTTCTACCCAACATTAAACTAAAGTTTCAAATTTTTTTAAGCCTTATCAGTAATTAAATCTCTTTCATAATCCTTAACTAAAATTCTTCCATATAAATTTAGGCGCATGACAGATGCGCTCTTCTTTGCATTCAGTTTCAATGCTCATCAAATAATGAGCACCACCATGCTCATTACTTGGTGAGCATCTGAACGGTCTAGATTAAAAATCTGGACAGTCCAAATTTTATAAAATTTATTTTTAATTTTATTATATTTATTATAAAAAATTATAAATTTTAATAAATCCATTTTATCATTAACCACGTTCGGTTTCAATTCTCATCAAGTGATAAGCATCTGGTCGTCTAGATTTTATAAAATTTATTTTTAATTTTATTTTATATTTATTATAAACAATTATAAATTTTTATTAAATTTACTTTATCATCAAATGGACAATATCGATTTAATTTGAATAGTCCAATTTAATATTAATTTTTTTAATTTTTATAAATTGATTATTTAAATATACTCTGGACAAACTGGATCTAAAGTATATCTGAATAGTTAATTTATAAATTTTTTAAAAAAATTAATATTAAATTATATATCTAAATTAAATTTATACTGTGCAGATTGATAATAAAATAAATTTATTAATATTTTATAATTTATAATTTGACAAATATATATTAAAATATAAAAATGAAATTGATAAATTTTTAATTTAAATGATCCAGATTGTTCATCAATGATGAGCATGATCAAAACCGAATGCCTTTCTTTTTTCACATCCACTAGTTGATCCAACCAAATCGAGCCCCATTACTGAGTGACCCATTTATGCTGGTACCTGAAATTGTACTTATGCATTATCACGCCATTGTTATCGATATATATATATATATATATATATGTATGTATGTATATCACTCCATCCTTCCCAACCACTGTGTCCCTATTAAATCAAGGTTTCCACGTTGGACCAAAATGAATCAACATATGTATTAGCAAACATATCTACCATTGAATTTGAGGAGACATCATCATTCACGCTGCTGCCGAGATCGTGGGGATACATGAAGGATTAAGTCTAAGCTGGAATCATGGGTATGTTAAAATGGTTGTTTTTGGCAAGGCAATACTAATCATAAACTAATTAAGATACTAATTTAAGGGTTAATAATAAAAATTGTAATAGTTGAACTGCAGTCAGACAATCATAAATAAAGCATTTTATTGAATTTGCCAAGTTATTAGTTTAAAAGTTAATGATCATAATTGTAATCGAGCTATAATCAGATCAATAATAAGCAAAGCATTTCATCGAATTGATTAAGGCATCGGTTTTTATGATTTATTGGTTTAAGTAGCCAAGTACAAAAGTTTTTAATAGAGAAAATTAATTTTTCAATCCTTCAACTTTTAACTCACTTGTAACTCAGTCCCTTAACTATGACTCGCTGCGACTCAATCCCTTAACTATAACTCACTGCAACTCAGTTCGTTAACTTTTGATTTACCTATAACTCGGTCCTTATTCTTTATTTTTTAAAAAAAATTTTATCAAATAAGAGGAATAAAAAATGCTCATATATTATTTTAAAATACCCTTATCTTATTCATTGGTGTGAGATATAAGTTAACATGAAAAAAAAATTAACAAAAGTTAAGGAACTAATTTGTAAGTAATTCAAAAGTTAAGGGACTGAGTTATAAGTGAATCATAATTGAAGGATTGAGTAACAAATGAATTAAAAATTAGATGACTAAATGATTTATTTTTTCTTTTTAATAATATGATTTTTGATAGATCTACAAAAGCCTTACATCTCATCAACAGTAAGCTCTCTCAAAATCATGGTTTAACTAGCCAGGGAACAATTTGAAATTGTTTTTATTTTATTATTATATGAACTAGTATTTTATAAAATATGTTTTAAAAATAAAAAATAATTAAAAATTATGTTTTTCTCATTTTTTTATTTTTCAGAATAATAATCTCAAAACACCTGGAAGTTATTTTCATTTTTCTGTTATCTACAATAATATTTTATTTTTTATTTTTTAAAATAATTTTTTAAAAACATGTTATTAAAAATATTTTTTTATTATTTTATTCTAAAAAATAGAAAACTGTTCCTATATTATGAAATAGGCCCTATATTTGCATAAATTATTAAGAGATGTCTGGAAATAAGAAGGGATAAAAACGGGCATGTTCTCTTTGCTTTGCTCTGTTTACTTTCTTATCAAAAAACCCAAAAAGAAAAGAAAAAGAAGAAGAAAATAAACGAAAAGAAAAGAAATCGGGCATAATTATTCAGGGAATGTGCGTATTTAAACACTAAAAATGTAGCTTACTAATTAAGTAATGAATGTCATGCATGAATCTTTTTGACCTAAAACTTTTTAATATAAGTGTTCTCTAAATTTTAAAAGATTTAAGTTGATATATTGATTTTCAACAAGAGAAATTTAATTTTATTTCAATTTCATGGAATACTTATATATATGTATGTATGTATATATGAATAACAATTTCATGGAATACTTGATTCTTCGAATAATATAAAGTAGCGTTGTATAAAAGTCTTTCATTTTGGTTTAGTCTAATCCAACCCGAGACAAACTCGATCTTATCCGTCTAGATAAAAATTAATCCTTCAGGATCAAAAAAGACCAAACTCTTTCTTTTGATTGGACTGTATAAGAGATCAAGCATCTAAACCATTTGGTCCGATCAGGTCCTGTAAATTTATTTAATATAATTATAATTAATTTATTAATTATTGTTATAATAAGTTAATTTATAATAATAATTAGTATTTTTTGTATTTTATACTTGTGAATTCATAAATATTATGCAAAATTTTAACATTGACCAACCTTAATTTTTTCCTTTTATTAATGAAATTTGTTGTTAACTTAATATAATGGACTCTAGATATGTTGAAGGTTGTTCAATGTTATTGAAAGTTGTTTAATTTGAATTATCTGTATTATAATTGAAATACTTTTTGTTGTTATTGAAAATTATTGTGGATTTATAATTGTTGTTATTTTGATGAATCTTATATGACTATAAATAATATTATTATTTTAATTGAGTTTAATAGGTTAAAATAAATTACTATCTCTCATGAATTAAAAAAGAAAAAAACTAAGTGAGATGTTAAATAAAACCAAGACCAGTCTTTTAATTTTATTAGACCAATCCGATCCTGTTTACCTTTAAGTTATGCTAGGATCAAATTAGATTATGGGTTATTTAATTTAATCATTTTTATGAAAAGAATGAAATTTCAGGTTAAATTAAAGTCATGTCGGATTAATTCTTTGCGTAGGCCTGATGTAAAGGCTCATGTTTTTTTTTTTTTTTGCTTTGGCCCCAAAAAATAAAATAATAATAATAATCTCATCACTTCTTAACCACTTCTTTATACGGAGGAAGGCTCAACACGTACCCAAATACACACTTCTCCTTTTTCATCACATACTCACCACCATTGGCATTGATGAATTTGGATTGAGCCCCCATGGCTTCAGCTAGGTCTCCCTTTCTGGGCTCAACACCTTTCCATTTCTGGAACCAATCTGCAATCCGAACCCCTAGAAGCAGACCCGTTGTTAGGGTCTCTGTCATCAAATCTGAATCCAATGTGCGCAAGCAAGACATCGTCATCGTCGGCGGCGGCATCGCTGGCCTCGCCACCGCCCTCTCCCTTCACAGGTACAATTTCATTTTTGGACAGAACTAGATGCATTGAATTGAACCTCCCTTTCTCATGTTGATGTATTATTGAATGCTCAGGCTCGGAGTTCCTTCAGTGGTGCTTGAGCAAGCAGAGTCATTGAGAACCAGTGGAACTTCCCTCACTCTTTTCAAGAACGGATGGAGAGTACTTGATGCCATTGGAGTAGCCAACGATCTCAGACCTCAATTCTTAGAAATCCAAGGGTACATTAATTTATCTTCATGCATTGATGTATTTGTTTTTTCCCGTATAATTAGTTACGGATTAATTCAGATTTATTTCAGCTGAACTTGTTCATAATATCAGCTATGCAGGATGGTGGTGAAGTCGGAGGATGGTAGGGAGCTCCGCGCCTTCAATTTCAAGCAAGAAGATCAAAGGTACTATTACGTGGGATTTTATTCCTCCCCTTATATCTCAATTTCACGGTGAATCGTCATGTTGAATAAGATTACTGAAGAACAAAATAATTACTGCTAAATGTTTGATCTAAATGTGCAGCCAAGAGGTACGTGCAGTGGAGAGACGAGTACTACTGGAGAACTTGAGCGAGAAGCTTCCAAAAGACGCGCTTCAATTCTCCTCGAAGCTATCGAACATTGAATCCACTCCAGACGGTGATTCCTTGTTGCATCTTGTCGATGGCTCAAAGCTCCTCGCAAAGGTCTTTCTAATCGTTTTCCTTCACTTACTCTCCGTCCTTCGTCGATTTTCTATCTTCTGTAACTTCCATTTTCTCTTGAATCAAACAGGTAGTAATAGGGTGCGACGGGATTCGATCCCCAATCGCTAAATGGATGGGATTCTCCGAGCCCAAATACTCGGGTCACTGTGCATTTCGTGGGCTTGGGTTTTACCCAAAAGGCCAGCCCTTCGGCCCAAATGTCAATTACATTTACGGCAGAGGACTTCGTGCTGGATACGTCCCTGTTTCTCCCACCAAAGTTTACTGGTTCATCTGCTTCAATTCTCAGTCTCCAGGTCCTAGCTCAAAACTTTAACTTGAAACCGTTCATACACGAAACAAACTGGTTGGTTCTTTTGAATAATAATATATGAAAATCAGGTCCAAGAATCACTGATCCATCGGTGCTGAAGAAGGAAGCGAAACAACTAGTGGCAAAGTGGCCTTCAGAGCTTACGAACATAATAGAGTACAGCCCAGATGAGACGGTGAGTAGGACCCCACTGGTAGACAGGTGGCTATGGCCGGGACTGAGTCCGGCTGCTTCCGCCGGCAGAGTGGTGGTGGTCGGAGATGCGTGGCACCCCATGACTCCGAACCTTGGTCAGGGTGGTTGTTGTGCGCTTGAGGATTCAGTGGTTCTTGCTACCAAGCTCGCAAGAGCGATCAAGTCTCGTGATGATGCTGAAATCGAAGCAGCTTTTACGTCTTATGGGAGTGAGAGATGGCCACGTGTGTTTCCCTTAACGATACGTGCAAGCCTCGTTGGGTCTATTTTGCAGTGGGATAACCCGGTGGTGTGTTCTGTTAGGAATAATGTTGTCTTGCCTAAGCTTGTCAGGCTTGGCCCATTGCTGGAACATACAAATTTTAGTTGTGAACCCCTGTGAGCATACATATATTTTGTGATTGTTATGTGTGGTAAGTTGCTTCTGAATCTGGAAACACTGGAAGCACCTGTAAAGTCTTACGTTTACCAGATCAGATCATTGTATATTTGTATTGTATGATCAGAATTTCGACCCAATATATGCATTAGTAGAAGTGGCGACGTGCACGTTTCTCGTTACAAGAAGAAGAAGCAACGTATAAACAGAGCATACTCCATCTTCTTCATTTATATAATTCATCAATTCATTAATGAAGGAAATCACACCCTGGAATGTGCCAACCCAGCCAATGTATATGGATTGCGTTCAACCATGTTTTTATATGAGTATAAAAGAATTCAACCCATTAGTTGGTGGATTAAATGGCTTAACCACCAATCAGTTTAATTATTTTCTTGCATAAGTTTAAAAAAATTACATTTAAATGATAAGTTTTAATATAATATTTCTTACTGTTGGAAAAAATTCACATATTAAATATATAAGATTAATCAATTCAATTGTGATTCATTCCAGATATGCTTGTTTTGTGAATTTATGATACTAAAACTCCTTCCATTTTTTATTATTTAGTTTTTTTAAAAAAAGTAATACAAATTAAATGGGTCAACTCTCACCTGTTAGGATTAGTCCATTTGATTCATGTCACTTGTTCTTCATTAAAAAAGATTGATTTTTATTTGGGCCGATTTTTTAATTCTAACTTGACTTTGATGCAAGTTAATCAAGTTAACCCATACCAATCTGATGTATATTTCTAGCTTTAATCTCTCTGTTTTTCTTTTCTTTTCCCCCCGATATTATCTTGCCTGGATTACAATCAAAAGAACGACATATAAAGTTTCAAAATCCTCTTATCGTGAGAATGCTGAATGCATGCTTATATTTCGTACTAATCACAAAAGATAAGCACATTGATAATGATAAGCGAAGATGTTACTCTTTTTTTTTTTGGGCAAGAGGATATTGCTCATTAACTTCTTATTATTAAAATCCGTTTATTTAAATCTTCAACCCAGTCGGGTAAGGAACCTCCATTTTATTAAAAATCGACTTTATGTTTATCAGTTATAGATAGAAGCCTTTGGAATCGAAGGAAGCCTAGTTAGCACCTCCGTCGAAAGATAGCCGTCTAAATTTTATTTTTTTTATTTTTCATTTCACATTTATTAAATAAAAAAATATAAAATATAAAAAATTTAGTAAATCTGTGTGCCAATCTGGATAATTTAAAGTTAACATGAATCATCAACATTTAATATTAAAAATTTATAAAAATTATTAAAAAATTAGTATTAAATCTGCACTTCATCCAAAGAGCATTGGGTTTAGTGATTAGCCCCAACACAATTTCTTGATGAAGGCTCTATTTTGTTTGTGCAAATCTTTAACACTCAAGCTGGCATTCGCTTTTTCTTCTTGAACAATATCCCATCCAATATCCATTTAGTTTTATTTATAAATTATTTTTAATATATTTTATCAGTATTAAAAAAAATTTTAAAACTTATTAATTTTATCTTAAAATTTAATAAGTTCTCAATTTTATTCTTATTAAATATATATATTTTAATAATACATTTTCTTTCTCCAATATTAAATGGAGGGTAAAAAAGAAAATTTATGATGAAAATTTAATAATATAATTTATAAATAGAATAAATTTTTTTAATTTTATAAATAGAATTAGAGGAAGTAAGATGTTTGTTTTTTTTTATCAATTTTCTGACTCCAAAGAAAGCTATGACTGATTTTCTCGGTGTCACGAAGTAAACCCTTTAGGAGGATAGTGGTTGGCGTGAGATAGGAGGGCAAAGCAAAAGGCACTGCTTTGATCAGAATTGTAGCACATTCTAAAACGGTGGAAAATGGACATTTTAAAAAATGAAAAATGAAAATAGGGGCAGAATAGAATGCCATAAAAAAAAAAGATGAAATGGAAATGACTTACTGTTTAATTGAATGAACTTGATGTTATTAAATACTGCATAATTAATCAATCAATTATATATATGTATCACAATAAAGAATACATCACATTGTGTTTGTTTATTTAATAATTAAATTAAAAAATAGAAAAAAACGAGAATTATGTTGAAGTTGTATAAAAAATTAATTAGCATAAAATTCATTAACAACTGAAGTCTAATTATTAATACACGTTGTAATAATTATTTCTGTTTCTGTTGACTTGGCATAATTCTCCCTGCAACAAACGTTATGTATCCCCCTGCGGGTAGGAGTAGTATCCTAATTGACATGTGGGAACACGTGGCAAGACGCAGCAGTAATTGACACGTCATCACATCCGACCCTTGAATCGTACTCAGCTCCGACATGTAAGGCTCATTTTATAGCGCATTTCCTTGTTTCATTTTCTTCGTTCGCTCTGTATCCTCCGGCGATCATCGCAGAGTACGGCTAAATTTCTCGCCGCTAGCGGTTACTTCTCTGTACTCTCTCCAAATTCACATCGCTTTTAAACCTTGCTCCGCCATGAATCCTGAATAGTAAGTCCTCAATTTTGAGTCCACAATTCTGAAATTTCCGTTTGGTCCTCAATCATCCCTTTTTTTCTCTCTCTTCCTTTTATCAAGCTCTGTTAGATCCGTGTTGTTTTCTTAATTTTCCCCTTTTCTTTGATGCGTGGCTTATTATATTTGTTTTGGACTGGGCGTGGCTTCTGCTTCTGAAATGCTCTTGCTGACTTAGATCTGACGTTCAAAAGATAGATCTGTTAGCACATCTGAATTGCTTTTTGGGAAAATTTATATACATATTTCTATTATCCGGTTTATACATTTTTTCTGCAATAGGTCTTTTTACGTTTGGGAATTTCGTATTGTAGAATGTCCTGTTTGATACAAAAGTTGTTTGTACATAAGGGCGACATAACTGCATAGCTAATCACCAGAAAAAGAAAAGAAAGAAAGGAAAGGAAAGGAAAGGAAAAACAATAAACTGCATGGCTTGGGTCGGTTTGGCTGTAGTTAGAGATTTGAACTTGTCCATTATTCTGATTGATGTTTGTAAATTTTGTAAAATTCATCGAGCAAGAACACAAGCGATGTTGGCAAAACACACACACACACACACACACACACACACACACACACACACACATGCACAAAATAGTCTGAGTATCCATATGGTAAAAGTTGTTTGCGGCCTTGTCCTTGTGTTTCACATTCATTGACAATGATTGGTGATATTGTATTTTAACTTGAAATCGTTCTTGTCCGATTCATCTGCAATATCTTCTGCTCTCCACTGATGCAAGGAAGACGATTCAGTGATTGTTGAAGTTCATCCAACTAACGACATTTGGTCCTCCTTAAAATAATCAATCTAAAATTTAAAGTCATTTTTAGCAACAGAATTTCTAACAACCGAAGCCTGAAGACAACAACCGGTCATTTCTGTTTAAAGCCTTAAGTCTCAACTGCAGTCTTCTATGGACTATGATGTATGAATGATGTTATGAACACAGCGGACTTAGTGCTATCTTTTTAGGCAGTCAAATTTCGTTCTCTTCTACGACGCGTATGTGCTTCTTTGTGTTGCTGTGCTGCTGTACGTTTGTGTAGCAAAAGAACATGATTCCTTTAATGTCTTCTCTCTTTGAATGGGAAATCACTATTTTTCACTGCAGCGACTACTTGTTCAAGCTTTTGCTTATTGGAGATTCGGGTGTCGGAAAATCATGTCTCCTTCTGAGGTTTGCTGTAAGTTTTTGCTTATCCTTTCTCTACTTCATTCTATGAGTATGATTGTCTCCATAAATGTATATCAAGTATGAAATTAATCGAACTGCCTACTTATATTATTAAGGCTAAACTTTGCTAAAAAAATTAAAGAATGGAGGATTTGCAAATGGCGAAAATGATTGCCATAATTTAATTTGTCTGGAATTCTGGAGTCATCATTCTAAGTGCTAAAAGCTGTGGTAGCCCTAACATATTGGTGTAGGTTTCTATCATAATCTAATTTTTACACACTCTTTTTGATAATAATACCTCTAGATTTTTATTTTTACTTTACTATATTGATGAGACACTCCTGTGGAGAATTGAAAGATACATACTTGCTAATATGTTAATTTGTTTTGACCAGGATGATTCATACCTTGACAGCTATATCAGTACTATTGGTGTTGATTTTGTAAGCTTTTATATTTACCGTGAGGCTTCAGTTTCATGTTATCAAATTCAAAAATATTGTGACCAATTATCCGCTGTGTTATCTTCTGTAGAAAATTCGTACTGTTGAGCATGATGGGAAGACTATTAAACTTCAAATTGTAAGTGCTTGCCAAAGTTAACATTTTTGGGTGCTTAAACAAAGGATTTTAAGACTAAATTTAGTTATTTTTGGTTTTGATGAGAATCCGTGTAATGTTACTCTCACATCTTTCTGCTTTAAGAAGAATCTAATTATTATTTATTGACTTGGAATGGCCAGTTACTTTTATGAAACTCATTTTGGAAGCAACTCTGATGTTTAGCAATGCAATAATTATCCCGTTTTCAATTACTTCTAATTTCTGATCTATTTTGTCACTCGTTGATCAAATCATCACGAGTTTTATCTGTTTGCCAATTGTTAAACCAGTCTGATGGAAGTGTTGGGGAAAAAGGATTTTTTTTTTTTTTGGGGAGGGAGGCTTGGCTTTAGTTTTCCTTTAGTCAGTTCAGGGACCCTAAAAGGGCATTTATTTACTTATTTAAAAAGGAAATCCATCCCAAAGACAAGTGATTGTTGTTGTACTCTGCACTGTTCATAATTATTGAGAGACTTTTCTGCATTCTCGGGTTACATAGTGGGATACTGCTGGTCAAGAACGTTTCCGTACAATCACAAGCAGCTACTATCGAGGGGCTCATGGCATTATTGTGAGTCTTCAGATCTGCTTCTTCCCTAGAAATTTTCGTTCTTCATTCTGGGTGACAGTGGTGATTCTCCTTTTGTTTTGGCAGGTTGTTTATGATGTCACTGACCAAGAGAGCTTCAACAATGTTAAGCAGTGGCTGAATGAAATTGACCGTTATGCCAGCGAAAATGTTAACAAGCTTCTAGTTGGAAATAAGTGTGACCTCACAGCAAACAAAGTCGTGTCCTATGAGACTGCAAAGGTGATTTTAGTTTCCATTGGTT